AATTATTTGAAATCAATTATAATTGCATTTTAAAAAATTTCTGCAATGAAAGTTTGCTTTAAATTTAACTTTTAAAGTCAGAAGTTAGCAAAAAATGTCAAAAATAGTAAATAGAATGTCAGCAGATCAGTTTAATGCAAATAAAAGTAATCAATTAAGTTCAATAAATGTTTATTTTTAGATAAAATATATTTTTCCAGCACAGGTAGATTTTATTTGAAACAGAATTAAGTAAAATTAAAACATTTTTAGTATTTATTTTATTAAAACTTTTAAAATCTGTCGAAATTTCTGCAGTAATCCAATCTGGATTTGTGACTAAAATTAATTTTAATATTTAAAAAATATTCGAAATCAATTATAATTGCAGATTTAATTAATTTCTGCAATGAAAGTTTGCTTTAAAGTTAACTTTTAAAGCCCATAATTAGCATAAAATGTCAAAAATAGTAAATTGAATGTCAGCAGATCAACTTTAATGCAAATAAAACAAATCAATTAAGTTCAATAAATGTTTATTTTTAGAAAAAATATATTCCTCCGGCATTGGCAGATTTTATTTGAAACAGAATTATTAAAAATTAAAACATTTTTAGTATTTATTTTATTAAAATTTTTATAATCTGTCGAACTTTCTGTAGTAACCCAATCTGGATTTGTGACTAAAATTTATTTTAATATTTAAAATTGCAGATTTAATTAATTTCTGCAATGAAAGTTTGCTTTAAGGTTAACTTTTAAAGTCCAGAGTTAGCATAAAATGTCAAAAATAGTAAATTGAATGTCAGCAGATCAGTTTAATGCAAATAAAAGTAATCAATTAAGTTCAATAAATGTTTATTTTTAGATAAAATATATTTTTCCAGCACAGGTAGATTTTATTTGAAACAGAATTAAACAAAATTAAAACGTTTTTAGTATTTATTTTATTAAAGCTTTTAAAATCTGTCGAAATTTCTGTGGTAACCCTATCTAGAATTGTGACTGAAATTAATTTTAATACTAAAAAAATATTTGAAATCAATTATAATTGCAGATTTCATTAATTTCTGCAATGAAAGTTTGCTTTAAAGTTAACTTTTAAAGTCCAAAATAAGCACAAAATGTCAAAAATAGTAAATTGAATGTCAGCAGATCAACTTTAATGCAAATAAAACTAATCAATTAAGTTCAATAAATGTTTATTTTTAGAAAAAATATATTTTTCCGGCATTGGCAGATTTTATTTGAAACAGAATTATTAGAAATTAAAACATTTTTAGTATTTATTTTATTAAAATTTTTAAAATCTGTCGAAATTTCTGTGGTAACCCAATCTGGATTTGTGACTAAAATTAATTTTAATATTTAAAAAATAATTGAAATCAATTATAAATGCAGATTTAATAAATTTCTGCAATGAAAGTTTGCTTTAAGGTTAACTTTTAAAGTCCAAAGTTAGCATAAAATGTCAAAAATAGTAAATTGAATGTCAGCAGATCAGTTTAATGCAAATAAAAGTAATCAATTAAGTTCAATAAATGTTTATTTTTAGATAAAATATATTTTTCCGGCATTGGCAGATTTTATTTGAAACAGAATTATTAAAAATTAAAACATTTTTAGTATTTATTTCATTAAAACTTTTAAAATCTGTCGAAATTTCTTAAGTAACCCTATCTAGAATTGTGACTAAAATTTATTTTAATGTTTAAAAAATATTTGAAATCAATTATAATTGCATTTTAAAAAATTTCTGCAATGAAAGTTTGCTTTAAAGTTAAAATATTTGAAATCAATTATAATTGCAGATTTAATTAATTTCTGCAATGAAAGTTTGCTTTAAAGTTAACTTTTAAAGTCCGAAGATAGCATAAAATGTCAAAAATAATAAATTGAATGTCAGAAGATCAGTTTAATGCAAATAAAAGTAATCAATTAAGTTCAATAAATGTTTATTTTTAAATGAATTACATTTTTCCAGCACAGGTAGATTTTATTTGAAACAGAATTAAACAAAATTAAAACATTTTTAGTATTTATTTTATTAAAACTTTTAAAATCTGTCGAAATTTCTGCAGTAACCCAATCTGGATTTGTGACCAAAATTAATTTTAATATTTAAAAATTATTTGAAATCAATTACAATTGCATTTTAAAAAATTTCTGCAATGAAAGTTTGCTTTAAAGTTAACTTTTAAAGTCAGAAGTTAGCAAAAAATGTCAAAAATAGTAAATTGAATGTCAGCAGATCAGTTTAATGCAAATAAAAGTAATCAATTAAGTTCAATAAATGTTTATTTTTAGATAAAATATATTTTTCCAGCACAGGTAGATTTTATTTGAAACAGAATTAAACAAAATTAAAACGTTTTTAGTATATATTTTATTAAAACTTTTAAAATCTGTTGAAATTTCTGCAGTAACCCAATCTGGATTTGTGACTAAAATTAATTTTAATATTTAAAAAGTATTTGAAATCAATTGTAATTGCAGATTAAAATTAATTTGCAATGAAAGTTTGCTTTAAAGTTAACTTTTAAAGTCCAAAGTTAGCATAAAATGTCAAAAATAGTAAATTGAATGTCAGCAGATCAGTTTAATGCAAATAAAAGTAATCAATTAAGTTCAATAAATGTTTATTTTTAAATGAATTACATTTTTCCAGCACAGGCAGATTTTATTTGAAACAGAATTATTAATAATTAAAACATTTTTAGTATTTATTTTATTAAAACTTTTAAAATCTGTCGAAATTTCTGTAGTAACCCAATCTGGATTTGTGACTAAAATTAATTTTAATATTTAAAAAATATTCGAAATCAATTATAATTGCAGATTTCATTAATTTCTGCAATGAAAGTTTGCTTTAAAGTTAACTTTTAAAGCCCATAATTAGCATAAAATGTCAAAAATAGTAATTAAAATATCAGCAGATCAAGTTTAATGCAAATAAAAGAATCAATTAAGTTCAATAAATGTTTATTTTTAAATGAATTACATTTTTCCAGCACAGGCAGATTTTATTTGAAACAGAATTAAACAAAATTAAAACATTTTTAGTAATTATTTTATTATAACTTTTAAAATCAGTCGAAATTTCTGTAGTAACCCAATCTGGATTTGTGACTAAAATTAATTTAAATACTTAAAAAATATTTGAAATCAATTATAATTGCAGATTTAATTAATTTCTGCAATGAAAGTTTGCTTTAAAGTTAACTTTTAAAGTCCAAAGTAAGCATAAAATGTCAAAAATAGTAAATAGAATGTCAGCCGATCAAGTTTAATGCAAATAAAAGTAATCAATTAAGTTCAGTAAATGTTTATTTTTAGAAAAAATATATTCCTCCGGCATTGGCAGATTTTATTTGAAACAGAATTATTGAAAATTAAAACATTTTTAGTATTTATTTTATTAAAACTTTTAAAATCAGTCGAAATTTCTGTAGTAACCCAATCTGGATTTGTGACTGAAATTAATTTAATACTAAAAAAATATTTGAAATCAATTATAATTGCAGATTTCATTAATTTCTGCAATGAAAGTTTGCTTTAAAGTTGACATATAATATCAAAAATAGTAAATAAAATGTCAGCAGATCAAGTTTAATGCCAATAATAGTAATCAATTAAGTTCAATAAATGTTTATTTTTAAACGAATTATATTTTTCCAGCATTGGCAGATTTTATTTGAAACAGTATTAAGTAAAATTAAAACATTTTTAATATTTAATTTGTTAAAACTTTTAATTTCTGTCCAAATTTCTTAAGTAACCCAATCTGGATTTGTGACTAAAATTAATTTTTATATTTAAAAAATATTTGAAATCAATCATATTTGCAGATTATGATTGATTTCAAATATCACTATTCAAAAATTTAATTAATTTTGCTGCTGAAATAATGTTTAGAACTCAATTATTAAAGTTTAGTTTTTTATTTATACTGAAAATATTTATACTGCAAGAATTTTATTTATACTTCAAGAATTTTTATTTATACTGCAAGAATGGTTTAAAACTATCACTGTTTCACTAAATACTTTATTCATATTTAATATGATATCCTTTGATGATTCATTTTTTTTTGTTTAATTTCTTTTGCATGAAAATATTTCATTACTAATTTAATATTATTTAATCGTATTTATTGGAATAAATTTCATTTTATTTCAATTGATTAAATGAAATCAATGAAATGACTTTATATTGATTTCCCATTTTAAATTATAATTTCTTTCTACTAATTAATTAAGTTTATAATCAGTTTAAAAAGCAAAATTTCTATGCATTCCAAATTTTCATATAAACCTAACAAATTTAATTAAATTTCTCTTTTTTTCCAAGTTATCTTCTTGAGATATAAGCTGTAAATTAATCAGAATTTCTTTTTTTGTAATTATTAAGATTTAGTTGAAAATACTTTATATAGATATAATGAACACATTTTGCATCATGTACTATTACTAATCATTATTAATTTTAAAAAACACAAATTTAATAAATATAAATCTTCTTTTTGCTATCTTTCTCTTCCCGTGCAAAAAAAAGAAAATTAATTGTAGAAGAATGAAAAAGATTAAACGATTAGTTGAGTATTTAATTACTTCCATAAGTTTTGAAGCAAATTTAAATTACAAATTTAATTATTATTACCTTCTTTTTAACAAATCTTATTTATCTATGAATAAAAAATTAGTATATTTCTGTAATCATTGCTCTAAATTAATATTTATTTTAACACATTTAAACATTTCGACATTTTATTTTGTTAGTTTCATTTCCATAACAGAAAAATATGTACAAAAATGGAATGAAATTCAATTTTTTTTTTTTTTTTTTGTCTTGTTGTTACTGAAAGTAATTTAGAATGGAATAATTTGAATGATGCAATATTTTGATAATTGATTTTTTTGCAGATGTAATTTTTATTAGATAATTAATTTTGAATTAGTCGATTAAAAACATCGAAAACTATTTTCTGATGCTAATGCTTTTGTAACAAAAGTAATGGACCTATGCAGTACGCTTCTCCCATCTATCTTAAAAGGTTTTCATTTTCTCATTTATTTTATCACTAGTTAATTTTTATTATTTAGTTTATTTATTCAAATATCGTTTACAATCCTAAATTTAATCTATATGTTAATTTAAAATTTTACTAAATACAAATGATTGAAATGAAGATTAATTGATTTTCATGTTCATATAAAGCAATCGTATATTTATTTCATTCAACAATTTGCAAACGTAAATTCTTCATAATGACGTTTATCCGTGACGTTGATACGTTATATACGTGCAGATCACCGTATTATCTTTATCGACCGTATCAGCTTGAAATTCAACGAACAACAATTCCTAACAATTCAGCAGTGCTTCATCGTACACCAAATCTTGATATCTTATCAGAAATTAATCGACGATCTAGACGACTCGAACGTATTGTTTCTTATCAAAAAATTTTAACAGTTACTCAGGTATTTTCGTTTTTTGTTTTGAATTTTTGATAAAAAATTGAATGTAATAAGTTTTACTTTTCGAAAACATTTGTAATAATCTAAGAATTGTATGAGTTAATATGAAAAATTTTTTTTTATCATAATATATTTGGATTTAACTTTTACTTAAGAAATATTTTCAATATTTTCAATTATTTCGTTTTAAAAATTAGTGATAACTACTTACCTGTCAATTTGAATTTGCCATAACAAGTTGAAAATTAAACTTGAATTTATTATAAATTTTTTTACTATTTTTTTTTTTTGTTAATTTTTGCAATAAGAAAAGTAAAGACAGAAAATTCAAGTTTTTTTTTTGATAATAATTTTTCTTAAAATAAAAGAGCAAGAAGTTTCATAATTTGAGGCATAAAAAGCAACTAAATTATTAATTGCGATAATTTATAAATATCAAATGACAGCACATATACGAAGGGTTAAATTTTATATGTTATTTTCCAATTAAAATAAATTACAAGAAATAATTTTCGTTTTTATTTCACATTTTAAAAGAAACAAAAAAAAAGGAACGATTCTTTTAGATGTTACTTTCACTACATTTGATTATAATGGAAATGACAAAAATTTTGTTAATACGGGAGCATTTCAATAATTGGGAACAAAAATTTGTCCTCGTAAGTTTAATCATTCCTTTCATTTAAATAGCATTTAAATACTAATAAAATATACTAATTTCTTTAAAAATGTTAAACTTTCTTTAACCTTTTTTTTTTTTTGAAAGTTAAAGTATTTGCAATTGAAAATTATGTTCATTTTGCTGAAAAGTTAGCGACAGAAAATTTTAGAAAATAATCGAAATAATAGAAAGAATTCAGAATGATAATTATTGATAATTTCAGATATGCGAAATGTTTCAACCAATACTTTTTGCTACTATTGCATTTATAACATTTTACAGCGTTTTGCGACCAACAAAAAGTATCACACAAATCGCTATCGCATCACTTGTCGCAACATTAAAACCATTATTCAATGAAATGCTCGTTTAAAAGATAAATTGCATTATTATTATCAATGCAATTCAATTTATATAACAAAGAAAAAAAAAATCTGCAGAAATCATTTATAATCCATCAGTTTATATATATATATATATATATATTTTTTTTTTTGATTTTAAATTATTATTGTAAATTCTAATTTTTATTTTTAGTGATAATCAGAATTTTAGCGTAATTTAAATTTGATGAAATATTTTTTCTATTTTGTTCTTACTAAATTTGAAAATTCTCTTTCACTCTTTTTTTTGATTTGATTTAAAACAAAAGTAGACAAATTCTTTCAGCAAGATTATTTTCTTTTAAAATATGTTTTATCTCTTAAAATTCACGACTGCTTTTTAATCGAACTTTAAATTTTATTAAGTGAGTTTTATAAGAATATACATGTGCAAGAATATACATTAATTTATTAGTTTTATAATTTTATATGAATATATATTACAAACACAATAGACAATCGCTGCACTAACAAGAAGTAGAGAGAACAATTTCATAAAGTAGAAATGCTTTCCCGAAAATCGTCACCCATCTGATAATAAGGGTTACTGAGGAAAAACTTTTTTTCTCACATTTATGATGTCGTCTTCAATACAATTTTCAACAGAAATAGTAGACATAAATTTTTTATTTCGTTTAAGTCAATCTATTTAGAAAAGCGGAAAAAAAAAAGGAAAATGTAACATACTTGCGTAAGTCCGAGGTAGATGGAGACACTTTCACTAACGTATAGGATGATACCATCCAGGTCAACAATAGCCAGAAAACCATCCAAACACTCTAGCAATGCTGTTGCAGACCATAAACATCGATGCTCCTCTGAGATTAGTTTTCAAGACTGCAATTATTTTCATTCCAAAAATTTGAATGATTCAAGTTATTCAAATTCAAGAAAAAAAAAAGATAAAAAATTCAAAATAGGCTCATTAAAAAAACCTGCAGCCTTCAGTCTATAAATTAAAGAAAAAATTTTTTTGAAGTTCCTATATATATAATATATATATATATATATATATATATATCCAAATAGTGATAAGAATCACTATTTGGAATATTTACTGTCACACAAGGTATCCAACAAAGAGATCGAAATTTGAGCATCAAAATTGAAAATCAATATCCAGTAATTTCAAGGAATTCCTTTTCGGCATTTTCAAATGAAGCTAAACAATATGTTGGGAAGATTGATTATTCCCACTAATTCTAACGGCTAGATTCCAATGATGTTTTTAAATAACCTGTTTGCTTACGCTGCAACTGGCGTGCATTTCAGGTTTTCATAGCTAAAATTGAAGAAAAATGAATTTGCCTAATGTTTGCAGATGCAGGAAAAACAATTCTTGCATTACTGTGGGCTGTTTATTTTGAAAATTTACATAATGCAAGATATCAATAATTCTTGTTAACAAAAAAAAAAATACATTTCGTTGCAACTTTTCGTAACCGGCAAAGAGTCAATGCAACCCGCAATATAGCAATCCGATCCACATGTGTAACTGTTGCTTCATCAACAATTGGTATCACTACTTTGAGATCCGCAAAGATGTCCGCTTCCTTACCACGTCGATCACGTGCAGCAAAACGAGATGACTCACGACGTCGGTCAAGATTTCTAAAAAAAAATAAAAAAAAAACTAGTATTTTCAGACGCATACAATGAATGCAAAAACAAATCACCTGATAAATCCCTTCTATTTCGATTCAAAAGATTTCATTCGGACAATATTAGTATAACTTAAAGTAAAATCAATGGTGAAAACAATTTGGTGGTTGGTAATTATTAGTTTTTTTTTTTCTTTTTATCAATGAACTATGTCAATTTGAAAAGAATGAATAGAATTAGGCCTGTGAAATTTATTTTTTTTTTATGTGAATTAGAATTACTTCATTGATACAGTCATTAAAATATTAATCATTAAGAATTAACTGATAGATTACCTATTAATTCAGCAATATTATTTCCATCGAAATTTTATTTAACAATTGGAATCATCTTAACAACATATTCTTAAATTATTTCGCATCCGAACTATTCAACAATTTGTAAGCATAAGTTAACAACTGATAAAGTTCGAATTACTTTGCTGTAATGCTAAGGAACGAACATTGCAGTAAAAAAAAAAAAAAAAAAAAGAACCCATTCGAACTTGCGACTAACACATCGTGTAAAATAATTATCATATAAAATAACAGATCGTATAAAATAATTCTGTCTTGCTGATAAGATCACTTATCAGTGTCATTTGCTTTTTAAAGAAGCAGCTTATTCCCTTTTTTTCCTCATTATTTGCCATTTCACCCTTTTCCATCTTGCAATTTCATTTTGTTACTTATATTCAAGTAACACTTAAAGTCATTAGCAATAAATTTTTTGCAACAATTTTATAAACATAATTAATTACTCCGATGGCAAAAACAGCTTAATCTCATCACTCTTCTATGATCGATCATTTTTCATAAAGTTAAATATGCAGTTAAAAGAAAAAATAAACGACAATTGTAATAAAAAATTAAAGAATAAAACTTTCCATCTCTTAATTCAACCTATTTGTCACAATAATTTTTCTATCTTTATCATAAAATATCCATCTCTTTGTTACATTCTTCGCAGCACTAATTCATCTCTTATTTTCCTATCATACATCATTCAGGTAGAAGTTGTTAGCTCAATTAAATCTTCTCTCATACTTCTTATCTTAAAAAACCATAAAGATATATCGATATAGAGTAGAGCTAAACTAAAAGTAATCATTATTCATATTTTAAATATTGCACAAAAAATCCTAACAGAAATTATATTCCTTATAAAATTTCATATGAAAAATATATTTAAATTATGCTTTCTAATTACTGATTAAATAATTATCATGAAATTAATCTCATCCATTCATAAATGATACAAATCAAAATAATTGATTCAAATTATCAAAAATGAAAAAAATAAATTAATTAGGGATTATGTTACACAAATAACAATTCAAAGAGAGAGAGGGGAAGAGAAAGAGAAAGAAAACATAAATTCTGAACCATAAATTATAACAAAATCGAGCAATAATTCGTAGGAATATATTTTAGTACAATCTTATCCTTAATTTTTAGCATTTGCATAAGAAAAAAGGGAAGTAAACATAATTAAGAAACCAAAAAACTTTGAAAATCCGCCTTTCCAGGGTGGCATTAATTTCACTAATCGGAATTAGTCGCATGCTGCACCCAAACCCACTGCTAAATGATCCTTTGAGGGATTTATTTCGTGTGATTCAACTTAGGATAAAGTTATTTCCGTTACTCATAATTCTCTAATTATCTTCCCAACTTTCTATTTTTATTAACTCTCATCGTCTTTCTCACACCATAAATACACTCTTTTCACTTCACCTATAATTATTAATTAGTTAATTAATTGCTATTTACAATTAATTTTATCTTCTGAGCATTTGGTAGAATTCGTTCGAGTATTTTAGCCTATATCATAACAAATAAAAAGATGTCACCAGCATGAAAGTAGATTATGAAGGTGGTTTAATAAAAATGTAATGTTAAACAAATAAGTTCAAATGATTTCATAATGTTGATCGAACCTAATCATTAAATTCGCTGTAACTCAAAACAATATTCACTAAATGAATTAATATCATTTTCAACGTACATGTCTATACTTAAAATTCATTTTTGCATTTAAAATGAATTGAAAATGATTAGATGGGATCGATTATTTCTGATTTTATTATTTATTTATTTCAAAAAATTCTTTTCACAATTTTCTGCCATGATAAACAAGGAGATGACACTAATATGAAAGAAAATCATGACCATGAAGATGACGTATTGCCAGTAAATTCAAAATACTTTTGTGAGGTTGGTTAATTTTATTTTTGTAACTTCATTAGTATTTTAAAATTTACATTTTCGTTAAATTTATAGTTTGAGCCGCTAAGAATGGTGTTAGCTGCACTAATTCAAATCATTTTGAATGCATGGATTAATATTTTCTTACGTAATTTTTTATGTAAATCACTTAATTGAGATCAATTTTTTTAAAAAAAATTAATTTATTATTTGACATGTAATGACTATCTGATTTTTTAATAATAACTAGAAATATTATTCGAAAATTGCTAAAACAATAAAATTGAAAAAAAAAATGCATGCAAAAACAATGTTAATATAAAACGGGTGAAAAATAAAAGCATGCGGTAAATGCAAAAGAGAAAAGTGTACATCTTAATAATAAGTGGTGTAAGTTCACAAGACACATGCATGTTAGTAAAACTAACCAAGAAACGCATGCAAAAACAATGTTAATAAAAAAACAGCAAATAGTATAAAGTAACAAAAAACATGCAGTTAATAAAATTAACCAAAAAATGCATGCAAAACAGTGTTAATGAAAAACGAGTGAAAAATAAAAGCATGCAATCAATACAAAAGAAAAAAGTGTACACCTTAATAATAAGTGTTGTAAGTTTACAAAAAACATGCATGTTAATATAACTACCCAAGAAACGCATGCAAAAACAATGTTAATAAAAAAACAGCAAATGGTATAAAGTTACAAAAAGCATGCTGTTAATAGAACAAACTCAACACGCATGCAAAAACGATGTTAATAGAAATGAGTGAAGCCAACAAAAAAAACATGCATTTAAATACAAAAAAAATGTGCGCCATAATAACAAATGCGTGAGTAAAGATACAAAAAACATGCATGTTAATATAACTACCCAAAAAACGCATGCAAAAACAATGTTAATAAAAAAACAGCAATTAGTATAAAGTAACAAAAAGCATGCAGTTAATAAAATTAACCAAAAAATGCATGCAAAACAGTGTTAATGAAAAACGAGTGAAAAATAAAAGCATGCAATAAATACAAAAGAAAAAAGTGTACATGAGAAAAAGATACAAAGAACATGCAGTTAATAAAATTAACAAAAAATGCATGCAAAAACAATGTTAATAAAAAACGAGTGAAAAACAAAAGCATGCAA